AGGTTTATGGAGTGTTAGCAGACGGTGTCGATAAACGGGTAACGTAGAGTAGCTCAGGTGACCCTGATAGAAACGCATAAGTGATGAATTATATATTAACAACGCAGAAACAGGAAGACCTGAGCAGGTAGATAGTCGAAATAATGTTTTGTCAGTAAGGTCAACTACTTATTTAGCAAGAAAGTTAACGTTACATTGTCTAAAGCTTTAGTATTTTGTACTCATACTGGAAGATCAGATTATTTGTATTATTTATTAGGTAACAATATTATTTAAAGCAACAGTTCGTCGTTCTTTGAGGGAGGATAAGATCTACTTATCTCACCACAAGTGTTGCAATCACCTGTAAGACCAGTGTGAGGTAGTACTGTCATTTTCTGTCCACAATCTTCATCTCAAGACACCATCCCAAAGTTGCTTCTGTTGCAGAACCTCTGTTGACGAGGTCACACTGCTTGCATGTTGATGTCTGGGTTTCATCTCCTGGTTGTGTCTCTCATATTTGACATAAGCTGCTGATTTCTTAGGCTTGCCATTTCCGAAGCGTTTACAACTGAGGACTCGAATCCTTCAGGATGAACCGTTACCTGCCAGTGGCACGGCAGCACTTTTTTAGTGCACTCGCAAGCACGAGCGTGGTGGTCAAGTCCATATGTGCCACAGTGATCCTGATGTACCTGCTCTCCTGGGCAGCTAACACCCCTTACCTGCTTGGCGTCACACCTGGCTTCCTTTTTCCACCAAACTTCTGGATTTGGACGCTTCTGACCCATGCAGTGGTGGAGCAACACATTCTCGGCGTGGCGGTGAACATTGCTACTGTGATGGTTGCTGGACGGCTTTTGGAGCCATTATGGGGAGCGCTGGAGCTGCTGATCTTCTTTGCTGTGGTAAACGTAGCAGCCGGTCTCCTATCTGGACTCTCTTATCTTCTCACCTACGCTGCCACCTTTGACCTGGACTACCTGTTTGCTGTGCGGGTGTATGGTGCACCCACTTTTCTGGGGGGCATTCTTGTAGCACTGAAGCAGACTGCGGGAGACACAACAGTGCTTCGAGTTCCTCAAGTACGTTTGAAAGCCGCCCCGGCGCTAGCTTTACTAGCAATAGCCGTCCTGCGGCTAGCAGGACTGCTGGACACTTCAGCTCCACTAGCAGCATGCGGGTACGGCGCTCTGTCCGGGTGGGTTTACCTGCGCTTCTACCAGAGGCACTCTAGGGGGCGTGGAGACATGTCAGACCACTTTGCCTTCGCCTCCTTCTTCCCAGAGGCACTCCAGCCGGCTGTTGGCTTTGCAGCTGGGCTTGTGCACGCTGCCCTTGTGAAGATAAAAGTTTGTCGTAAGATGGTGAAGCGATATGATGTTGGGGCTCCATCCTCCATCACCATCAGCCTACCAGGCACAGACCCACAAGATGCAGAAAGGCGGAGGTACGTTAATTTAATTAAGAGTGGCTGATATTTATTTTCACGGTATGGTTTATATTAACATTTATATACTATTTCTTCTAATTAGAAATGAAAATTAATTGTTTAAATGTTACAAATGGGTTTAGGAATTTGTACAACTTTTTAATGTACAGTATGAAAAAAATATATATATTTTTTTATTTTACCTAGTTATTTTAATATTTGTATAGTGCATAGATACATCCGTTACGTTATATGAAAACTGAAAATATAAAAATTAAAGCATGGAGCAAATCACTAAGACAAACTATAAATATTTTATTTTGTGTTTTACTAATTTTGCTAAATGTATTTCGTTTCTTTTTTTTTTTTTTACTGTATCTATTGTCTTTCATTTGTTTTTATTTCAGTTTTAGTTATTTTAGTACTTCTAAAGTTTGTTTTTCATCTAATATTTATATTTTAATTTCAACTTTTATTTAATTAATTGTTGAATACATTTAAAACAAATCTCTAATATCGACCAAGGACCAATATGGTACCGACATGTTGTGCATTTCTAGAGCTAATAAAGTAAGTCAATTTGACACCGACCAGTCTGATTGTTCTCAGTTTTGATGTATCCATGTGTTTATTGGCGAATAGCAGCATCAGTTAATTTTTTTGTTTCCCCACAGGCAACTTGCTTTGAAAGCTTTGAATGAGCGTCTGAAGCGTGTGGAAGACCAGTCGGCTTGGCCCAGCATGGAAGACGACGAGGAGGATGATGAAGATGAGGAGGTGCGAACAGACACTCCTCTCCTTTCAAGCCGAGAGACTTTGCCACCAGCACCCAGCACCACACAAAATCCTACGGGACAACAGGAGTCCAGCATCATAAGTTTTGAAGATGCTCCGACCCATTCCTAACACAAAAAGACACGCATACAATCCTTGTTTTTGTCCTGCAGAGTTCAGTTTATCCTTACAATCACAAACGCTACTGGAGACATCTCGCACAAACACACACACATTATCTTGGTAATGTTTTACATACACAAACGAGGAGTTGCCACTAAATGAACACATTACCTAAACTAAATGACAAAGACATCCATACTCAGTTTTTCAGCTGTACAAAAAAAAACCCTGGACTAGTCTGTTTCATAGCATCTGCAGTGCTCCAGTACTTTTGCTTTGTAAAAACAAGAATATCTTCCCTCCCTCTTGCCTCTTGTGTCAGGTTTTTGGGAAGTATCCTTTTGAATAGATGCTCTAATGGTTTATGGGATTCAGTTTTTAAATGTATGGCAGACTCTACAAATGTTTATGGGTTGCCTCTTTTTTTTTTTGGCATAGTATCAGAAAAAAGGCAAGATTCCTCATATTTATTGGGCAGAAGATGGGACTTTTTTGCTGTTTACTGATGTAACGGCATCAAAAGAATATCTGGAACTTCAAGGGCAGGATTGCTAAAGATGAAGAATGTTTATGCAAAATTTGGGACTTTTCGAAGAATGCGTGATATCTAATTTAAGGTTCTGCTCTCATTGAGAAGGATGTGGCCCTTTGATTTCCTGTATTCAGTCATGATGATTTCATAGGTGGAGGCACAGTGAGGAGAGAGTCGGATACAGTCATTTCAAAATATCTTTGTTCAGAATAGTTTGAAATGATAATAGCAATACAGAATCTGATTCTGTCCCCCGTTGTACACTTTTCCTCATCTGTACTTTAATGATCTGTCTATATGTGTTGGCTTTGATAAGAGTGTTGCACTCTAAATTATGAGCTTGCATAATGGACCTGTTTTTATAAAACACAGATTGTCTACACAACGTGGCTTGAGTTTCATTTAATGTTACAATTTTTGATTAGGGTTCCTGAAATTTACAGTAATATTTGTAACCCTTTTTCTTTGGGGTTTTTACTAGTAATTGTTGAT